TTTGTAGCTTCAGTACTAGTCATTTTTATTTTATTTCCCTAGGCTCCAAGATGACAAAGGTCTACTCTCAATCCTCACTAAACCTTGCAGCCACAGATGAGTCTGGAAATAATGGCGACTCCACAAAGAAACCCCAGAGGTATACCTGAATTTGACACTGCTTTCCAGGTTTTCTGTCAATTCCTGTTACCTGATTATGAGAGCATAACGCATTTAAATAAATAAAAAACAGTGCAAACCTATCAGCTGATCTTCTGCTGTATGTAATTTCTGTTTCATGCTGCTGCTAATGCCCAAAAGTCCAGTTTAAAAATGGCACTTTGCTTAATCCCTGTTCCCACCTGGGTTAGACTTATCTCAATGTTTAAAATTAGCAAGAACAAGTCTTCTCTTTGATTTTAGAAGTCTTCAATTATGCTTGGAGATTGCATTATGTGTGAGAGTTTTGAGAATACACCAAGCTTCCCTGTTAAACTCTTCTTGGCTGCTTCAAGGAGAAGCCTAAAGGCAGCAGAGCTAGCGCCTCTGCATGGCTCAGGGAGAAGCAGACATGGCCATGTGTTAAGCTAACCACAATCATGCCCAACTAGCAGCACTGCATTATACATGCATTACATCCCGACACATAGCCAAGCTGTGCACCAAAACACTGTTAAAATAAAAGCAAAACATGTTACCTACTGTGGCTGGATTTTGACTACATCTTGGACACTCTAGTCTGGGCTAGTATCAGGGAATATTCTAGCCAACACCTCATTTTAATAGTGCAAACAATGTAAAACTTTAAACTGAATAAGACCATGCCTCAAGCAAAGAGATGTTGTATGTTTATATTTCAAGCTATCTTGCCAAATCTCATTGTGCAGTGCAATGCCTAAATCCTCTACCCACGCAAGCTTAGTACCCTCTGTGATGGTGGGTTAAGGTCCTGTAAAATCACCATCAGTCTTCTGTCAGTAGTCTCTAAGTAGATTGTAGAATTCCAATAGAACTACATTTATCAATCTGACTTATACCAGGTTAACCCAAAACAGGCAATTCACTGCAAATAAATAAAAAGCTATTCTAGCAGGAAGAGTAAACCAAGAGTGATCCCAAACACTTGCCACAAGCAGCTATTAGGTTTATGGGGCAATTACTTTTTCACATACAAAATGTAATGGTGAGGTGTATGTTTTAGCACCTATTACACAATATTCAGCCCCCTGAATATTGAAAACTATCAACTAACTATCAACAGATGTAGCTAATTTCATTGTCACCATCTGTTGATAGTTTTTTCTCCTCTGTGGTAATGCTGAAACTGATGGTGGAGGTGTAGAAATCTGAGTTTGTCCAATTAATCCCTGATTATAGGGACTATTGGAGCTTCCATATTTGAAGCTTTGCCACTATAGATACCTTTTATATCTGCTATAAATTCAGTGATGTGAGTCATACAGAGGCTGGGATTGGCAAATTAAAAAGTAAATAAAATTGCATGCAGTTAGAAAAGCTTATTTAAGGCAACAACAACAAAAAAAACCTCGGCTTACTTATAAACAAGGCAACACTGTGGAGAAATGTGTTGTTTTTGCTGCCATGTTTGTCTGATTTTGAGGATGATGTTGAACAATAGAAAATGGTTTTAACCTACATGTCCTACTCCCATCTCATTCATCATAATTAATTAGATTGTAAAAAGTGTTATGTCATCCAACAGCCGTTTTGATTCCCCTTCACGATGCGTGACACCAAGCCGACCCATAAATCAGAATGGAGACAAAGACTGGGAGTCTGGTTCCAATGGGACCTCGCCTGCCCCAGAATACACAGGTACATCACCACACAGCACAGACCTGCATTCAGTGATTGGATGCATACTAGCACCAGATGAATTCAGTCTTAGTATAATGAAACAGTCAGTCGTGTGTAAGTACATTATTTAACTTAGTGTAGATGTAGACTAGTTTAAGATTTGGAGAAAATCAGCTATTAATAGAATCAAAATATAAATCTATAATGTGATTAACTAAACTGGCTAATCAAATTAAAGTTCTCTGTCTGGTAAGAATAAAGTCTGTATATTCAAATAGTAATGTTTTGTTTGCTTAAACAGGGCTTTGATCATCTGTGTTACGTTCTTTAGAAATAAGCAGGAGAGTCCCTGTGTTCAAACATGGCTCTGTAACGCTAATAACTGTGACTCTCATTCTCAGGTCCAAAACTCTTCAAAGAACCAAGCTTCAAGTCCAATAAATTCATTATTCACAACGCTTTGTCACGCTGCTGCCTGGCTGGGAAGGTGAACGAGACGCAAAAAAACAAGATCGTTGAGGTTAGGATATATTTTGTTTTTTTAATGACATTTTTCTCATAGTGTCTGAGGATTAAAAAATAACCTTTTTATTTTGGTGTTCTTTTTGCTCTGGTTTCAGGAGATGGAAAAGAGCTCTGCCAATCACTTCCTCATTCTCTTCCGCGACTCCAACTGTCAGTTTAGAGGCGTTTACACCATGAACCCTGACACGCAGGAGCTGGTGCGGCTGGCGGGCGTGGGCCCTCGGTCGGTTAGCTCCAGCCAGGTGGAGTCCATCTTCAAATACAGCTCAGACAGGAAGCAATTCAGCACCATCCCATCAAAAACCATGGGGATGAGTGTGGACGCCTTCACCATCCCCAGCCAGCTTTGGCAGGGAGGCGTTGGAGGAGGAGCGGGAGGAGGCAGTAACCGGAGAGCAAGTGTCACCAAGAAGGTGGCTATCTCTAAGTGAGGAGGAGTGTAAATTAGAATGTTATTAAATTGGAGAAAAAAAAAATATTCGGACACAAATCTATTTATGTGCACACAGATTCTGTGTAATCTCTCCCATTTTTCAGAATTACAAACCTATTTGTATTTCTATTCCCTTTAACATCTATTTAAATGTTCACTGTGTAACAGAGACACACTGTAAAAGAGAAAACGGAGCATTTCTTTCAAAAAAGACAATTTCCTGTTCTTTTTAAGTTTGAAGTTCAAACCTCTCTGTGGAGGAAAATCAAACCCTTTTAATTTGCACATTGAGGAAAGCATGTTGATAGGCTGAATAGTGCCTATCAACATAGGAAAATGCCTTCAAGTCACATCAGATGGCTGACTTTGATTTTTTTTTTTCTTCATGTTAACTCTCCCAGTACCTGTTACTATGTGGATAAAAGCACATTTGATAGCCATAAGTATGTGATGCAGAGATGAACTGTGTTCAACTTTTAGAGGACTTTGTTTGGATGTTATTTGATCCCAGCAGTTTTCAGACATTATCACTGCAGCATGAAAGGTTCTTTACTCCACGTTGTGAAATATCACAATGTAAACTTGTGATTTAATGAAACTGATGATGTGAGAGCATTAGATGCTGCTTTAAACCTGTTTTTGTACAATAAACTGTTAGCATAATGCCGAATGACATGCAAGAGGAATCTGGACTGTCATACTCTCAGGTGGAGATAAGTGCTGATAGTCTATAAATAAATACAAACTTGAATTACTTAATTATTCTTTCTTTTTAAGATTATAGTACCTGTATGCTCCTTCTTAACACCACAGGATTCATTTAGAATCAAGTTCAGGGGGATCTTTGGGTTTACACAACCTTGCTAACTCCAGATATCTGTAACAGAGGAAAGAATAATGGGCCTAATCCTGAGGTCCTGTTATTGCTGTTTAAGATTTGGAATCTGTTCTGACCTTCTTACTGCAGATTGGACGATTAAAACAGCTGAAGTTTGTTTGAGGCTGGAAGTTTGAGCCTTTGTTCCTGGTATTGATGTTTGTAGCCATAATTGGTACCGTATATTATTATAGGTTATTTCCATATTTACTTGGTCATCGTAAAGATGTAACAGCTTCACCGAATATTCAGAGTTGAGCTCAATCATTGCTTGAATTTACAGTTTTTTATGGATCGTTACAGACATTTCTGGATTTCTAAAGTAAAACAAATGTAAAGGTACAGTGGAGGATGTTCTTCCTCCTGGTGTATCATCTAAATAAGTGGTCCTCCTAATTGTCAATCTTTCTGGTTATATGTTTACATAAGGCCGTCTTACATGCTCGTCCCCATTTTTACTTACCGGTGGTGAGTCTGACATATTGGAAAATTTGCAAATCTTATTTTGGAAAGTAAACTTGTATGAGTGATGCAAACAGCAAATTTTAAACAGAGCGTGCACGAGGAGAAACGGGCTTATGCACACGTTTAGTAGGCATTTCCTACAGGTATAGGGTTGTGCATGTGTATTTTTTTTTAAGTGGAGAAGGCTGATCTATTCAAAAATGTATGAAAATCCTCCACTATACCTTTAAAAAGCTTTTCTCAGTCTCACCACAACAAGTTTTTAGATGCAGGGGAACCACCAACATGGATAAAAGTTTGTTTTAACAGGGTGACCTGCAGGACTCTTCTGTGGGTTAACTATCACATCATAGATGCTCTTTCCCGCAGCTGCCTTTGAAACTGACCCAGGTAATCTGTGTCCATCTACTGAGAAGGAACCATCACTCCCATCTTCAAGCTGCTTCCTGATTCCCAGCTGTGAGTTGAAATAAGGTAAATAGGTTTAAGTCAAAAAGCATTTATAAGAAGCATTCAAGAGTGTACTGTTTTATTGCGTCTTCCTTCACCACATAGCTCTGAGATGCATTACTACAGAATGTTTTTTTTAATTCATATAAATACTTTTTATTGCACTGGATGCAGCACAGTTCTTTAGGATCTTTGTTGCAGTCTTAACACATGAATGCCAGTTTGTAACCCATCAGTCACTGAAAGCCTTGGACAAATGAGTTTTCTGCAAAAGGAAGACTGAAGTTAACCAAGTTTTAACTGTCAAAGTCTAATTAAAGGTCGCAAGTTTTGGTGATTTTTAATCATTCATGCTCAGTTTGGATAAAGATTGAAGCATCTTAACAATAATGAAGATTTTAAAGCGAAATACTTCAAGCATTGATCTTTTCTCTGCATTGTTTTTTTTTTCTCCTACCCTGGAAAGTTGTTTATATTGTATTTTATGAGCTAAAACCTTTGTGACCAAATTGCATAGCAAAAGATTTATCTTAATGAATTGAGCTGAAGTTATATGTTTAGTCTCATTAATGGTTTTAAGCAATACCAATGAAGAATAAAGAAAGAAAAGGTTTTATGTATGAAATAATCTAAAATGTGCTGGAATTGTTATCCTTATTGCTTTCTGCAGTTTAAGAGTCAAAAATGTCACAAAGGTCAAACTAATTTAGTGTGAGAATTTGTCACTCTTGGATGCCCCCTGTTGGTCTGGAGGCCCAAGCAGTCGCAGAGACTATTTGAAATGATTTAAGCCAGTAATTAATGGCTTCACAGATGGTTGGGAAACTTTCACATTCAGTGTGATTATTTTCTCTGCAGCAAAGACCCCATTAAATGCACTCGCTGATTTCACGACTCAATATGTTTCCACACGAACAGCAGAGGAAGAAAGTAGGCAATGGAGCTCAGAGAAAGCTGAAGCTGCACAGAAAAATTCAGTAACGTCAAACTCCACATTAGGACTGTTTCCTCTCTACAGATGTAATATTATATTGCGGTAAATCCCAGATTCTCATTAAAGTCCTAACAGTTACATTTGATTTAACCTAACATTTATGCTATTTAGATAAGAATGCAGTATCATGATAACTTCAGAGTGACAAAGTGAACAGACATACACTGGGCTGAGGAGGAGGCTGCAGGGGAAACGCTGTGGTACAATAAGAGCAGATTGCATATTGAAAGAAAAGAGTACATCATATCAGAGTATCTAACACCATGTGTGATAGCTTCTGTGTTGCTAATGGACATCATCTGGTTGGACTTTAGTGTCAGGGTCAGCTTGTGTGTCCACGGAGCTGCTGGTTGTGATGTTCCACACACCAGCATCGTGCTCCGGCTCCAGGGACGGGCTCGCAGAGGTCGGGTCGGACATGTTGGCTGTGGCAGGGTCCTGTGAGATAACGACGGAAGTTGGAGGGGGACTGAAAGCGGCCTCGGTGTGATGGTCAGAGAGATTGTTTGCCAGCGTTTCAGATGGGAGGACAGCTGAAGGGTCAGAGGACGGCAGAGAGGAGGAGTTAAAGGTTGTGTTTGAGGACAGGTTAGCTGGAGTGAGGTAGGGGGAATCAGACAGCATTTCAGAAGAGGAGTCCAGGAGTAAGTGTGTTGGCGTGGGCCGGGGAGTGTGTGCAGGAGTGGGCTCCTGTGGATCTGTGCAAACCGGTTGGCCTTCAGCCACGTACCACACCTCATTATGCCTGTTTAGCAGCTTTAAGGGACTGCAAGCACAAGAGAAAGAGCAGAAGACAAGTGGATAGAAGTGTTTGGAAAGGAATTTCCAGATAAAATAGAACATGGTTTGACATTACTGGAGCAAACAGGAGTAAAATGTTACCTACCTGTCATAACCCACTCCATAGTGATAACTGTGGTTGTAGGAAGCGTGCACCCTCTGAAGCTCTTTGGTCAGCATGTGGGAGTGAAGCCTGGAGGTGACCGACATCATCCAGCCTCCGTAGCTCCTCACGTACACGTCCATCTCCGGCATCTCAGTAAAATACAGCTGTGGACAAAACAAGGAAAAAATATCAGGGAGCAGAAAAATCCACATCCCAGATGATACTTCTGATACTTCAGCTACTGGCACTGAGTATTCTAAAAGAGTCTTCTATTCTCTCTGTGAAGGTCTTTGTCCAGTTTTTCTGAGTTACCAACTATAACCCATCCAGATGCATTAATGTGTCTGAACTAAAGTGATTAACCAGTGCAGGTCTTACCCAGAGCAAACCATGCCTTTCCTTTTGCTGAGTCAAGGAAATAGTATTAATATTAATTAATTAATAATAATTAAAGTAAATTAATTAACATTACCCCAATATGAAAAAAATATGTGATGATTTTTGGTAAAAACCTTTAACCCTAAATACCACTATGCAGCAAAACAGGCGAATTGCAACAATTTATTTTTATAGAACACTATTTAGTTTGAACCACATTAAGGAGGGTGACTGTTATTACTATTTTTTTATGTAATTACATGTATTCCGGTTTTTGCCATGAAATTTATTTTAAATAAAAAAAATTTTTTCTTTTAAATGTTACAAAATTGAAGGGGCAAGTTTCGTTGGCTCTGTGGTTAGCGCGCACGACGGCGGCCTTAGTCCTTGACGTGAGTCTTACCTGTTGTCTCTCATACCCCCTTTCCTGTCAGCCTACAGTATAAAAAAATTAGCCACTAGTGCCGTTAAAAAAACAAAAAACAAAACCCACAAAAGTGATAAAGTCACACTCTCTCCTCCAAGAACAACTAAGTATTTCATCAAGTTTCCAAAAAAGGGTTAAAATATTAGCAGTTATATAAAATACCTTTAAAAAGGTTATGATAACCTGTAATCTGTGCCACACTCCAACCCTCCAACCAAAGCTTCTGTGTGTTGCGTTTAGATTTTATGTGATAGATCAACGGAAAGGAGGTCATCATTATTTTTACAAATGCAATTCTATTCTGACAGTATTAAAAAATAATAATAATTTAAAGTGATCAACTGACTTCAGACATTTCCCGGTAAGTAGATACAGTCAATCTGACTGCTTTGGTAGAAAACATTCGTTTAACAGCATCATGAAGACTGGGCGACACAGGTTAATAAAATGCAAAACTTGGCTGGAAAAAGGGCAGGAACCTTCCAGTAGGACAATAATCTGAACATGCAGCCAAAGCTACAATGCTATGACTGGTTTGGAAACACACTCCTGGGTTTAGATCTGAGTTAATAACTGAATAAATTTAAAGTCATCAAGTTTCAGGGGATGCATTTATTAATCTGTCTATGCGGATTTATGAGAAATATGTTTGGAGCCAAAAGCTTTTATCTTTCTGTTCCTCTGAGTGAAAGCAGGATGAGAGACAGACTCAGTTTTCTGCATCAGTGCCTATTATTGATCCTTAAGATGAAAAAAAAACAAAACAGAAGAAACAACCCTGATCACATTATGCAGAGCTCCTCAGAGTTCAACCTTCTAACTTTCAAGGACAGCTGCCCAACCCAAACAGAGAAACTGCATCCTTCTGCAGTTATAGGTTCTTTCTAGTTCACCTTGTCATTAGTGGGTGCAGGCGGTTTATCCTGATAGGCTGACGGCAGCAGGAAGCTGAGCGTATAAACAGCAGGCTCCCACATCGTGGTTTCTTCTGGGACCTTCACCAGTACAGGAGCTGTCATCTCCATCTTCACACCTAGACAAAAACCCACAGAATTTTAATTAATCAAAAGTTATTGAGTAAGACAGATGCGTCTCCTCTCCCATCCTTACCTTCTTCATTTCCTCCATTGATATACATGAAGAGCCTCCTGAAAGCCATGGCTGCACCCACCCCCATAAAATAGGCCTCTGCATCTGTTGACACCCAGCGAGTGGGGCTGATATGTCGCACCTGAACACACACACAACCATGAAAGGTGACAGATATGAATTCTAGAAGCAGCAAGGTTTGTGTTTAAGCCGCTTGTTGGCACTTCAGACTCACTTCATACTCGTCTGTTTTGCAGATCAGCTCATATTCCAGACATTCCCTGGACTCGGTGCAGAAGCTGGTGTTGGTAGCTGGTCTGCAACACAGTGAAAAAATATAAGTACAAGGAAACACATTTTAATTAATGTTATCACATCAGTCAAAGCGTCACCTCTTCTAATCTAAAAAGGCATAAACACAGGATTGGTATGAAGGACAGAGGACAGATAGGGACAAAAGTGGATAAAAACTCTGATACTGAGCTTATAGAAGGTCGGATAAGGTAAAAATGACAGATAACCAAAAAGGTCAGATTGAATTTCATAAAATGAGTCACCTTGATGCATTTTGAGGTCTGTTAATTTTTTTTTTTAGATTGTCTCTAAAACAGCTGTGAATGAAATTAAGCAGAGTCAAGCAGCCTGGGCTGATGAGGATTTTATTAATTTAGCAGGAGGATGATTAGGATGCAAAGAAAAAAAAATGAATGAAAGAGGGTATCAATGATTACTAAATATTTCCAATCTTTGTTGATGTAACATTTAATATTTTCCGTTTTTTTTTTATTGTTGGCTATTTGTGCACCAGGAATATTCCAGAGGAACAGTCAGTAGAGGTTAACAATTATATATGAGGCCCATATAGGTAAGAACTTGGCTTAATCATTGGTTCCAGATAACGTATTTGACATTTTTAACTATATTAACAAATTATTTATAGGTTTCAACCTGGAAACAGTAAAAATAGGACATTCTAAATCAATAAATTAAAACATTTGACAGATTTTCCTATAAAACAAACATAAGTGACCCAGTTGGGAACCAAGTAAGGTGCCTAACTAGTTTTGCTTAAAGAATTGTATATCTGATCCGCCAAACAGGGACCCAGACCACTCTGTAAAATCAACATGGAGCTCAACACAGTCTGGTTGTGATTAAAGGCATGCTAAGTTATACAGTCTGCACTAACTTTATGACATTTGATGCCAGTAAAACAAAAGTGACAATTATGCACCTCACACAAAGTTGTAGACTAACAGGTAGGAGCTAATGACAGGGTTGCATCTGTGTATGGTGGCTAATGAGGCTCTAATTCACTGTAAACCTATGAGCTTTACTTCATAATTATCTAAATGGTGTGATTATTCTTTCTGTCTTTTGAACTATTTCTACTCGATGTTTTCCCTCCACTAAACTTTCCATTGATATACTTAGATATAGTTTGAGCCTTTAATGCGGCTTATCCTGATAGAACTGCTGCAATATGCTGTGTTTTTTCTGCTGATTTTAATTGATTGCTAAACAAAACTTAAGTCGTCAAGGTGCATCAGGCTACTTTCCCCACGTTTCATTCAGATTTGAAATAGAAATGCATGATAGATGCATGCATGACAGATGTGTTCAAACTTGAAGCTGTCAACTTACCCCACACTGCCTTCAATCGAAACCACCAGGGCCAAAACAGCTACACCTGTGATAAACCTCCTGAAAAAGGGACACACAGACATGTTTCTTTGTCTAATAAATATTTTTGTTCATGACACATTGAACAAAATTTTAAAGAAAAAGCTGAAAACGTTGTATATGGAGCTCAGAAAGTGAAGAAGTAAAGAAAACATGTTGGAAAGTTAAACGACCCCGATTAAAGAATAAGATGAAGTTAAAGGACTCCTGACAGACAGCAGGGGAATGCCAGGCAGTGCATCAGGCTGCTGCAGCATTCAGGAGTGGATTTCATCACTGCAGAGATGAAACAGGACACGTGTTCCTGCTGCTGAGGAGAGAAATCTGCTGCATCATCAGTCTGTTCACCAAAGCAAAGGCGTTTTAAGGTCATGGAAGATCAGTTATTACCTCTATCAGAAGATCCTGTGACAGGATACTGTTATTCACAGCTTTAAAAGGACAAATAAATAATGCAGTCTGTAAATATGTGCTCTGTGATCATGCACACTAACCAGCAGCCCATGTAAATACGCACGGTTTTAAAAAAATGCAACAAAAATGAACTTTCTGCATCAAGCCGAGATAATTAAATTTGCAAGTCATTATGCAACAGATAAAGCTTAGGGTTAAAGTAATGATCATAATCAATGCTTTGATATCAGTACTTACATTGTGGCGGGCCTGTGAGGGTTTATTTCCCAGCTGCAAGGAGTGTGCAGGGCGGAGGAGTGATGGAGACTGCAGTGCGCTGCAGCCGGACAGGAGCTGGAGGGTTTACTGCAGAGAGGAGAGGAGAGGAGGGGAGGAGAGGATGGGGCCCGGGGCCCGCCTACAGTGGGAGGAGCTTCCAAACTAGGCACAGGATCCTTTCTGGGTAGTTTTTTCTAGCCTCTTAATGATTAAAAAATATAATTTCTCATCTTGTGAGTGGAAACAAAACCATTAGGTCTCTACCTGGTGGGGAACTATGTGCTGTTTTGCTTCTATAGCCAATTTAATGCCCCCCAACAACATTGCCTGTAAAGAGATATTTTCTGTGACTCATGAAATAGATAATGTTCCTGGTTTATCAATAAACGTATCTCTGCTCTGTTTAAGAAGACTGTTGCCTCAAGGTCTAACTCCTGTTTATGCTTCAGTTTAATGCAGTGGTTTTCAAACCCAGTCCTTGGGTAAGTGCGAAGCTAGATGGGGGCCAGGGGCCACCCTTACCTACTCATCATGGGCCACCCCTGTGGCCACCTCTACCATTTTTTTACCTATAATACAGACGGTGACAGCAGTAATACTCTCAAGTGGAATGTTCTAACTTATTTAACAATTTAATTTTCTATATGTATAAATAAACAATTACCTGAAATCAAACACACTGTGGTTAATTATGCACATCAATATACTGATATTAAAGATAAATGGAGAATTTATGCTATTTTCAGAACTAGATTTTGTCTTATATGGGGTAAAGAAAAATTATGTCTCTGCAAGACATCTAGGAATCTTCACTGAAATCAGAGAAAAATAACTACTTTAATAAGTAATCCATTTAATGTAGATATTAGATACCCCTCAGAGTGCATTGGTTATTGCCTCGTCACCCTTATTAAAAATTTGTGGCTACGCCTCTGTCCTTTGATCCCACTGTCCTGCATGTTTTAGGTCTCTGCTCCAGCACACCAGCATTAAATAATTGCACTCCCTCGTCAGAAGCTTCTGCAGACTGCCAGGGCCTGATAATCCCCAATTCATTAAACTAGAGGCAGGGAAATACCTAAAGCATGCAGGATAGTGGGTCCTGGGGACTCGGTTTGAAATCAGTTGACTTAATGACACATAAACCTACTAAAAAATGGTAAAACCTTTCTGATTTTTTGGTTGCCATTACATCCCTCTACATCAAAACCTAAAATCCATCTGATTATAATAATATGGTTCAAATGAATACCTGTCCCTTGATGCAAAAAATAAGAACTAACTTTGGTAGGTGGTGTAAAATTCACTTGTCCCTGTGGGGAAAAATGAACTCTATAAAGAAAATGACAGTGTCAAATGTTTTCTAAATCCTCTGTAATATTCCTGTCAGTACTCCTTTTCTAAGAGCTAGATGTCTTAATATTGGATTTTTTAATGGGGTAAATCACATCACTGCATGAGTATCAAATAGCTGCAAGCAAGCGTTGACAAAGGTGGTTTTTCCCTTACCTTATTTTAAATGGTATTGTTAGGTTTTATATGCTTGCTTACCTGCTTTTAATCCCTCTGATAAACCTCCCTGGTTTATCATCCCATTATTACAGCAGCCAAATTAATTTGGAATAAATTACATAGAGCGGATCGTTGGGATTTTATTAAGTCATCACTTGCTCATTTATGTAATACTAAAAAAATGTATATTGGGGGAAAATCAATGAACTGGCCACAGTGGTATAAGATGGGAATTTCCTATGATTTCTATTTGTTTGATCCAAAAAAAACTATGTCCATCATCTGCTGGGGTTACAGTATTAGAGCAAGACTTAAAAAAGTTCAATAAGCTAATTAGGAAGGTCAGTTCTGTTCTAAGAACTCTTCCTGAACTTCTGGTGACTATTTCACAAAGAAGAATTCTTTATTACATTATGTACATCTAGCATCCTTCCTTCAGAAGATTTTTATTCAACCAAAAGAGTGTCAGTTCAGTAAGAGGCTTCTCCAGATCTGATGCAAGACAGACCAGCTACAGGAGATCCTTCCTGCCTACAGTTATCAACACCTTTAAAGCAACATTTAATTTCCCTTTGGGATTATTAAAGTATTTTTGAATTGAACATTTAGGCATGATCACCCAGTCCAGTAGAATATACTGTCTAACATTCAACACAAAACTAATGGCACTTATGAGAGAAGAAAAAGTAACCAGTTGCAATAGGATTAAAGAAACATGTCCAAAAACATGCGTGGACTTGATTTTAACACTGTAATGAGAAGTCACTAGATTTAGGTAGTTTTTTCCCCCCTTTTTGTTCATCTGACATTTAAATGGGACAAGAAAAAAAACAAAAACAAAACAAAAAGCAGACTGTAGTTCGCCCTAACAGGGTCTCCCTTTAACATGAGATTTCTTTTTTTAATGAATTAATTCCACAGAATAACTGATTTTCAATCACATATTATGACCGTTATCCACAACAGAGTGACCCGAGAGCTTTTAAAACCTTCAACTTTATTGTGACAGTTCATACATACATCCAAGAACCTTCTGTAACAATAAAAAACAAAACAAAAGATGTCTTCAGCCAACTCACTTGAATTTATACTGTTACCTCTCGACGGGTTCTGTGTGTAAACACTGTGCAGATCTGTCCTCTTGGACAGGAGCGACTGGGGATAATTCTCAGTAGCATTTTTATATCTTTTCTTCCCAGTGGGTCCATTTAAATGAGTAATGAAAGAACAGAAACCCTCACTGAAACTAAGCTGATAACATCCTGAAACACTAGGCAGCCTTCAACACATCCACCTCTTCTTGTATGAACAGTCATATTTACAAATAGCCTTTAATCAATGGTCACCTACCCTGTCTGGCTGCACACGCTGCTGAAGTCACCTGTGATTAATTAAATAAGAGTCACATCAAGAGCAAAAGAATTTAAAACTAAAAGCAGCTAAATTCAAAAATCAGTTCCGGCCCTTCTCTGCTCACAAAGACTCAGCCGTCCTGAAAATACGACCGAAACTTCTCTCTTACGTCGATTAAAGTTCTTCAGGTCAATAAGGGGAATAAGCAGGTTGTTTCCAACCACTAAAGCACTAAATTACAGCAGCACTCCAAAACGACACACTGGGAGGAACGGCTAATGCTCCAACACAGATGATAGAGAAAACGTTTCAATACGCAAAAAACCGCGACATCTTGAAATAAATCTTCCTGTTAAACGTTTTAATCTATAAATCAAAGCCAATGAGGAGAAGGTGTATGGTGCTGTGTGACAGGTTGGAAACAATTGACTGTTATAAATACACCAATGAGCTTTTTTTCTCTTTAACCTGAGCATGGGTTATTTTATCCAAAGGAAGAAAATTTGTGTCATCTCACAGCCATAAATGTCCCCATATCACACAAAAAGATACAACCAAGTGGTAGAAGTACCATTTTAAATAGCTGACATTAACACTCCCAAAAGCAAGTCTTTGTCTAAAATAATAATAATAATAATAATTATCTTTGGAGAGAAACAGAGGAGAAAAATATGGATTCCAGAGCTCTGTTCCACATCTCCAACTGTCCATGAGGGGGAAAAAAAGGCTCCTGAAACCCTTCGGGTTCTGGGTGGAGTGTCCCCAAGAAAACAGTGAGCGTCCATCATGTTAGCCGTATTTTATAATCATAACGTTTTTTTTGTTTTGTTTTGTTTTTTTCCTTTCTTTTTGCATAGCCAGACAGTGGCCACAAGCTTTGCAACCACTGAGGAGTTTTAAACAGAGAGCAGTCTGTGGAAGTGGGGAGCCTTGGTCCATGTGAGCCTCTTCACACCCAGCTGGCCTGGCCCCGGGCGGCTCGGTTGGTCCCTCTGAAAAACAAGCAGCTCTCCACCTACAGAGCAGGCTCTTTCTGGCGCTCACGTCCGTTAGACGTCTTCTTAACTTTGGAGATGCCTTCCAGTGCTCCTGACTCCGTCACTCTACAGAAGAAAACACAAGTAAAGAAAAGACAGATTAGGATCTTTTAATATATGAGCTAACAAACTAAATTCAGGGGAATCTAACATACTTACACTTCATCCATCTCTACATCCTCTTCATCCTGGGGAAGCTGGAGGTAGGGGTTATTGGATGCTGGTCGAAATTTGTAGCCCGTCAGCACAAAGAAGATCAAAGTTGACACCTCCACCAGAAACTGAGAAAAGAGGAGGGCGTCATTTTTATAGACCTCATTAAGTTAGAATATCACCCTCAGAGAGCTGTGATAAACAGATCTAAAACAAATATGTCTTAAAGCAAAAGAGCCATTATCACCCTTGGTATGGCTAAATAAAATGTGCTTACAGAGAGAGCCATTAGACCAATCAGAAATATAATAATTTTGATGGTAACCGAAACAGCTTCTATTCACCTGTTAATCAGTCTATATTAGGCCTTTTAGGTGTCAGGAATGGCAATAAGGCCTTTTTGTGAGGTTTTGAAAAAGTTAATTTGATATCACCCAGACAGTGACATGAAATAATAGCTCCTAGCTTATGATTCTGCTCCACACGGTGTTTGACCTTTTAAATACAGGAGCTGTGCAACAAAGTCAGGGAAATGTCAATGTGTGCTGCTGACGTCTTACCTCATAGCACCACTGCCACTGGAAGGGCATTGTGATCTTCAGCAGAATTGCTATAATCCTTGTGAAGTAGATATAGCACACAATCTAAGAAAGGCAAACAAAACAAATTAATACCCTAAGATGGAGTCTAAAAATGGGATGAAAGTCTTGTTTTGCAGTGAAGTATCATATTCATATCTTAGAGATAAGGTTTGCTCAGCCCTGCAGCAATGACTCAGCTAAATTAAAAAATCTAAGCAAAGGATGTAGGTTGATGAGTGTGATAAAGCTGAACAAAAACAAAAACATTTTAGACTAAATGTAAACATAGTAACTGCATCAAGTTGACCTAGAAAACACTGTATGATCAGTACTATTGAGTAGAAGAAGCCTTTCTCACCATGACGTAGTAATGCCTGAACAGCTTGAGCTTCTCCAGGTTCATGGCAGCTGGAAAAATCCAAGACCACAATCAAAACAGGTAGAACAAACGGCAACCTGTATTTGCTTAAATACATACAAATAAATACACTATATACATACATATACATACATACATACATATATATATATATATACACATACATACATATATATACATACATACATACATATATATATATATATATATATATACACACACACACACATACACATATACACACACACGCGCTCGTTCTGCCATCGTAGTGAGGGCCATGTGTTGACTCCCATTGACTTTCATTGATTTTCAGTCCTTTTCAACCCTTTCTATGCCCTAACATTATAACTAACCATAAAACCTAACCATTATCGATGCATACCTAACCCTAACCAGTTGACACCTTAGCCCTAAACCTAATCATTAGCAAAATAGCATGTGAGGACGGGCAAAATGTCCTCACTTTAAAACAACTGGTCCTCAATTTGATGGTGAAATTGGAAAACTGGTCCTCACTCTGAGGGCTAGACAGTTGTACACACACTCACACTACCAACCTTTCCCATCTGTGCTTGAAGCCTCCTGTAAGTGACGGATTGACCTGTGAAGATAAGGGTGATCAGCAGGAAGATATAAATGGAACATGAAAGAAGAAAGTGACATCTATAAATACTTGGTCTTCTCAGACCAATTCAATACTAGTTTAAATAGAAATGGATGATATCCTGGGGTGGAAATTTAATGGAAAATTGACTGAATGGACAAGGAGCTTTACTGGTAAAAATGAAAGTCTTTTACACTAGAGCCAAATTCACCTAATCATAGCCCAGCACATATTTATAGAAAGATTCACAGATTCGTAGGCAACCAGGAGCACAATGCAGGAGGAAGTTAGAATTGAAACTACAGGTTAAACCAAGAAAGTCTAGCTGGTAGCCCTGATAACACTTGCTTGTGAAAGGTAGCTAGCATCACAGGGAGTTTATCGATGCTAGCTTTTGCTTTAGAAAGGCTTTGAATCAACTTCACTTTTACTTAGAAAGTCTTTGAATAAACCTCCGGTTCTAGCAGAGCAGGAGACCTCACAGTGCAGCTCTGCATCCTGACAAAACGTTGGCATATGCTGCTCTCAATGTATTGTTTTTAATTTTGGGCATATGCATAGACTATTCATAACGAGTCTAGAAATTAAGTCCAACGACAGCCTAACTTATGCATAATGCACAGCAGTGCAATGCACATGAAATGTCACAAGCCAGTGTCCTGAGGGGAGCAGCAATACGCCCGGAGGCATATAGAAGATTTCTCTAACCTTCACTGTCGCAATATTAATCTAGCTGCTGTTTACCGGCAGCCAAAAAAACGAAACAAAAAGAAAAAAGGTTTGCAGTCGTAGCAGATTCAGCTTCATGTCTAGGAAGTTTGGTGGTCGTGTCAATGGGCGTGAATGCAGGGAGGTTCCATCACACTCACCTTCACGCTCACATTATGAGGGGATGCAGTCAGGAGGAATACAGGCTGTTTCCTTCTGTCAACCCCTTTTTATACCAAAATGCTGCCAATACGCAAACATTTCTTTACATATGTCGACATGTGTATGCATGCTTCAGCGTGCTCATAATTTAGACAAAACATACGCATAACTTATCCAACTTAGAGCAGCGTTTTTGCCAACTTCTTCGTATGTCGACATACAGTGGCAAAATCGTCAAGGTGTGACAGTGCCATTAGGAGCTAGAGAGCATTTCATTCTGCTCAGGATCTTTAGTGATTGGGGGAGTTTACAGAAGCTAACGCTAATCCTCATCTCTCTTTAAATATTGTAAGTCAACAATTATTCTACTGACATGTTTTCCTATTGACTAAAGCCATCAGAAACTAAGTGTCTTAATGAAATGACATGTTTCAACGTGACGTGTTTAAACTGCAGCGCGGCTACAATGACCTATTCAGGTGTAGGTCTGGAGCACATCCGAGCTACTTCTCAGTATGAGACGGTCAACTCAGGTAAACACGCCACTCCCAGCAAATTAGCTGTTAAAACCCAACAATATATTTTTTTATCAAAAGCAAAGATCAATGGTTTTTGACACCGTCAGTAACAGTGATGATAGTTTTGTGATCGTAAGATGCCGATGATTTCCCCTCACTGTCTTCACCAGAGACAGAGGAAATTGGCCTGAGAGAGGCTGGGCCTCCAGAGACATTTGATCATAGAACGGGGAATAATTCTGAGTGGTAAGTTGGTGTTAGCATTTTAGATAATAGGTTATATGTAGATCAGGGTAAACTGTTATAACTACAGTTTGCATCTAGACTCACTTCAAATTAGTAAAGAAACATGTAGAAATTGAGCCGTTTTTCATGTGTACGCTTTAACAACAACAAAAAAGTTTATTTTGAGGCGAGTCGTGCGGAAATGAAATAAACTAGAACCGTATCATAAACACAGCTTCTACATCTCTACACTGACCAGACAACAGGGAACAGGATGGCTCCACAGCAGATGAGGTCCACCAGAAAGAGGATCTCCTTCCACAGATAGTATTCACTGGTGCCTTCTTCTGTAGACTCTATAATGATGAATGCAACATTAGCCAGGACCTGCAAAGAAAAACAAAAAAAGCTACAAAGTTTAGCAAATATTACAGAATCTTTCCATGAAGACTATTTTTCCAAGTCCACACACAGTACCTGCAGAGGGATGACTATCATGAAGATTTTCTTCTCTTTGTCAGACAGGATGTATTTAACAAAAGCCCAGCCTGTTCCAATCAGTGCCAGTGTAATGAACAGGAGAGCTCCTTTCAGTCTGGTATAAATATAGCATGTTAAAATCCATGTATAATTCTAACATAACAGAGAAAAGGGCAGGAGAAATGACTTACAGGTGGGTGATATAATACATGACGGCCCAGCCTTCAATAGGACGCCCCTGCGTGTTTATGAAGTGATAGTTGATCTGTGAAGACACAAGAGTTAAACCTTGTGTTAAAAAAAGAGAAGAGATAAACACAGTTTTTGTGGATATGAAGATATAACAAATAGGAATGTGATGGAGTCCTTACACTATGGAAAACCAAAGAGGTGGATTTGGTGAATGCCAATGCTGCCATCAGCCAGTGGATCTTAAACACACTGTACCTGCAAAAAAGCAAAGAAAATATACTTAAAAATCTAACTTAAGGGTATAGTGGAGGACTTTATTTTTTCCGGGTGGATCATCTAAATAAGTGGTCCTCCTAACTGTCAATCATTTTGGTGATATGTTTACTTAAGGCCTTCCTAGGTGCTCGTCCCGTTAGCTATCTGTTCTTTCAGGCGCATATAATTTGGTGAGCTATAGTTTCAGACAAACAAAATCTTTGTGTTAACCAAGCCCATCTAGGATGTGTACTTTCTTTAATGCAGTGATCCATGTTTTTTTTTTTTGGGTGTGGGCGTCATGCCATCTGCAGGCAAGAGGGTGCAGCAGACTCCACTCTGCTTAACAAGAACACAGAATAAAGCACCAAGAGGATGTTTGGATTGTGGGATGTAATGTAAATCCCATTAACAAGAAAAATATTCCAGGTATGTATGTGTGTATATACATATATATATATATATTTATCAAAAATACTTTTGAAGTTTGATTACATCTAACAGTATCCACCTCCAAGGAACAAACCACAGTGGCTATAAAAGATATGACTGAGTAATTGAGCTACCAGTAACTTGGAAAATAAAACTGAATAAGAAAATTCTGTCACAATTTGACTATGATTTATGTTACGTACCTGTGCTTCATGAGAGTGTACACCCAGACCAAGGCTGCAGCAAAGAAGACTCCAGCCATACATATGTAAAGGCGGGACAAGGGGATTTCTGCTGCAGACAGGAAGCTCCCTGGGTTTGTCTCTGTCACGTCCACCTGCAGAGGAAAGCATAATTAAATCAACCCTGACAGATAGCTGAGGGAGCACAGACTGGTAAAAACACTCTGAACTCACTCTCAAAGAGTAAGGAATCCTAATTCCAGGCATCCTGTTCTGACAGTAGTGGAACTTCAGGCTGTAAAGACCTTCTGCCTTTGGGCCAACCACCAACTGGAACTGTAGAGGAATAGACACATATTTAACCTAATAGGACAACAAATCAAACGCTCCCAAATTATATGTAGAGGCAGAGAAAGGGGCACTTACACTGAAGTTATAGAAGCCCTTGATTTTGTCCAGTGCTAAAATCGGCTTGGTTGTTTGGTTCAGCTAAATGAAATTACAGTTAAGACATTGATTTAAAGAGGAAATCTCCAGAGTTATTCATGATCAAGAAACCCAATTTACCAGGAATGTGGTTCCCTCCACTTTCTTAGCTTCTTCAAAAGGGGTTGACTGTTCTTTGTTTGTACTTTGTTGGCCACCTTCTTGAGCATTCTTCTGACTTGGTTGGCCACCTTCTTGTGCATTCTTCTGACTTGGTTGGCCACCTTCTTGAGCATTCTTCTGACTTGGTTGGCCACCTTCTTGTGCATTCTTCTGACTTGGTTGGCCACCTTCTTGAGCATTCTTCTGACTTGGTTGGCCACCTTCTTGTGCATTCTTCTGACTTGGTTGGCCACCTTCTTGTCCATTCTCCTGACTGTTCCCACCTGCTGTCTTTGTCTTTTTACCATCTTCTGAGTCATTTTCTTCAGCTGGCTTTACTTTGTTAGAATCTGCTGGTTTCTGCTGATTCCCATCATCTCTAACTTTCCTTTCTTCAAAAGATCACAGATACAGAATAAAACTCAAGTTTAAGTTTAGTCACTATAAAACAGTTGCATCATTCCCACTGGGTTAGTTAATTTGAGAAAGTGCAACATATCAACAACACAAACCTTTTGCCTTATCTGACTTGGCTTTGGCTATCAGGACATTATCTTGATTACCCATGGCATAAACATTGACTCTAGACAGAAAAAAAAATACATTTAAACTTCACTTAAACCCATGAAAAAAAATAATAACTGCTGATCTTTAAACATACCTCATTTTGATGATGTCAATGAGAAAAAGGATGAGAGGCTCATCATTGGTTGGCTTGGTGGCTGCGAGCGGGCAATCCTCACTCTCCTCTGCCTAAAGAGATCACAACATTATCAAACTGACTGAAACCTGAAGTAACCAGATGGTTAGTTATAAAGGCGGTACTCACTGTGTAAGGTAACACCCCATTAACCCGTGACCTGGACAGGCTAAAACCAACCTAGAGGTAATCAGAATGGTTACAGTGAATCTACATGCTGCACTTGCCACACACAATAGATCAATATGAATCCGCTTTGGCTATAGCTAATCTGTGTTATTGGTTTTCATAAATGATAAAAGAAAAAAACAGGTGAGAACACAGATGGTTAAAGTTTATTTTTTATTTTTTTCGCCCAACAGACTGTTTACAATTTTCTAGGGTTTGTTAAGCAAGACCAATTGCTACACCTGCATTGTGCCCTTACTTGATTAAAAGACTTCCTTCCATACATACTAAATGCTGATTCATTTGGGGTGTAACAATAGATCTATTCAGATTAAAAATGCTTAGTATGGGCACTTCCAATCAGCAATCACTGACCAAATAAACAAATACGCTTTGTAAAGATGTGTTAATGTTTATTTTATTAGTAAAATTTCCTTGTGGTTTGGTAAAGACAGTGAAGAAAGAAAAAGCTTTTTATTTTATTTCATCAACAATAAACTATGTAGCTGGTTCTGCTTCACATTAAACCATTCACTTCAGTCTAAACAAAACAGAACTGTTAGGGGAAACCCAGATATGGCCTGGTGGGACAATTGTTAAGCCACTCGTAAAAAATAGAAAACGAAAATAAACTTTAAAAAAATAAATTTTTGGGTCAAAGTAAGGAAAAAACATCAAAGGAACTGGAGTAGTGGCAGCAGAGCAGCATGGACTGCTGTAGTAAACACTTGTTTTTTATATACAAGCTAGAAAACCTCTTTTGGTGTTCTAGTTTCCTCTTTTCAGAATTGGGTAATTAAGCATTTCAACACTGGGTAAATTACACAAGCTCTATGCAAGAAAATGTATGCATTGAAAACAAACAAGCAAACTGTATCTATTACATCCACAATTATGTTCATTTCTCAACCAGGATATACGATGAAAATACTAGAATTGCAGAGATAATGAGCCCCAAGAAAAAGTATTTCTTTCCACCCTTTTATAATATTTAAAAAATAGAAATAAAATAAAAAGAAAGAAGAACTCACTGGATAGATGCTGTAGTTTACAAGTTTTTCATTAAGCCCCAAAGAAGTCAGGTTCACATCTAGAGTTCCATTTGCAAAGAAACCAAAATTGTTGAGGTCAACAGCGAACCGTGTTTCATTCTGAAAATGACAACAGAAACAAGATTAGATTCAGTCGTATAATACTAAACCTCACAAGTCGAACAAGCCAGACAAACAGTTTGGAGGTTTTATTTATAATGTGACTTCTGGGCTGAATAAAGTGAAGACGCAAGTAAACGAGGAAACTGATAATCATTTTTTATTTACTAAAATTAAATAACTAAATTGCTAAAATAATGAATTGTCAAGCACTTTTTTCTGTTACCACAAACAAAGCTTTTTAAACACCATAGTGTCTTATTTTTTAAACTACAAACAAGACTTTTAGGAGCATGTTAAGCCTAAATAATTCATTTTGATATTAACTTTCATACTTTGTTACTCAGAACAGTTATGGCTTAATATATTTCTTTATCTAATAACTACTATGCAACAAACCCATGTGCAATAACTGCCACTTGTGCTATATATATATACTTTTATATTCCTCTTCTGTTTTATGATTCTGCTCACAATATTAAAACTTTTGTTGATCAACACATATGTTATCTTGTTAATATTTAGGCATCATTTTGGACAATTCTTTCACATTTAATGCACATATTGACTGTGTTTACGAGAAAGCCCAGCAAAGGCTCTTCCTGCTGTGCCAGCTGAGGGGTTTTAAAGCCAGTGACCATATCCTGTGAGGGTTTATCAGTGTTCCATTGAGAGAGTACTGACATTTAATGTGGTTTGATAATGTAACTGCCAAAAACAAAGCTAAACTTGACAGAGTTGTTGAACAGGCCAGTAAGATTACAGGCCAACAACAAATCAATTAGTCTCAGCATTACAGTGAAGCAGTGCATCAGGTCAGTCATAAGATGACAGATGATCGTTCCATCGTGGAAGAGATACAGACTTCCTTATGCCAAGAAAAGGGTGTATAGAAGTTATTTAGTGCCCTCTGCCATCAAGGAGCTCAACAAGTCACTTTGTTCTGCTTCCTTTCCCTTTATAAACTGCATCTGCTGCTGCTGTATCTGCAATGAACTCTTTTATAATTTTATTTGAATGTATTTGATTACATTGCAGTGTGAGCAAGCCAAAAGCAAATTTCTGCCGTCATTGTGTATGCTAGACAAAGTTTTTCTATTCTATTACATTCATCTTTGAACCAAATGGCCTTAAATCGAAAAGCTAAACGGGTTCCAGCATGGTCTGAATTATACAATACATAACTTAGACATGACTGAGTTATGTATTGTATAACTTAGTCAGCATGGCTCGATATTAGCTAGTTTCATGCCATTGAATGTAGTCAACCCATCATTGTGAGTGGCGTCATTCTCCGTGGTGTTAGCTTAGGCTAGCTAACGCCGACCTTAAACTAAAGCAAAACAATGCAACAGACTTACCTTCAGAATGAGCTTATGTATCCTCGCGTTAGATCCAGACAGCATACCACACAATAAAATCCATGCCACGAAGCAGTTTATATGCGACACAGCCATCGCAACACCTGCTAAGGTTAACTGTTAGCTACCAATTAGCCAAACAAGCTGGCTAGAAGTCTGTACGGTCTCTAACCTTAAATTACACTGAAATGTGTTTACAAACCCCCGTTCAAGCACGCATATTACCTATTAAGCTATTAAAAAACAACCTTCTTCTTTTATGTTTTTCAATGTATGTTATTTCATCGAGTAAACTAACGAGTAGCTAGTAGTAGACTTTGGCAGCTTCGACACTTCCTGGTCCCAGACACTTAAGGTGCGGACAAAATCGTCAGCAGCTGTAGAACAACGGGATTGTTTTATTCACATTTGGCGAAACAACTGTACTGTATAACACTGGTGAGGGAGGAAAAAACGCCAACCAACATTTTATAGAGCCTCAGCCAAAATGTTTATAACTGTGTTCAATATTCCGTTCAAATTTACTCATATTTCTGTACCCCGGGTTTGTCTACACCTTGAATTTAATGTCCTAGGTTAGATCACGTGACTGACTATAGACGTGGAGCAGAGCGATGCAGGGTTTTTATTTATTTATTTATTATAACTTTATTTGGAACAGTAACAATGACAAAAGCAGTCAATACAGTATAATAAAGCACAACATATAGTCAATCATACCTCCTAACACTTTTCTTAATATTTTTTTCTTTTCTTTCAAGTTGCCAGGTAAACAGATGTTAAGTTTATGCAATACGCTTCACAAAGAGAGAGAGAGAGAGAGAAAAAAAATCGAAAATAAAGGATATCTATAATTATATACGTCGAATATAACAGAATTATAGTTAAAGATAAATGGATAAATAAAAATAACAAAAAATACAAAACACACACAAAAAAAAAAAAAAAAAAAAAAAAAAAGCCAAGTAAGCATTATTCTTTAATTTGTATCTAGGGAGGGCTGAAATAAATTAGAGAGGTGATATGACAAAGTTTTTGCATTTGGTTTCTGAATTTTGTCCAAGGAAACATTTAGAAGATGGATTTCCTTTTTAAATACAGACCATAACGGCTTAGCTTTTCCATATCTGCATTTATGTATATCAAATTTTAAAGTGACGATAATGCTATTAATAAGATAGTCATCTCTTTTGTTTTCAGATAAAAAACCATATAAGACAGTTTGTGATCAGAGCGATGCAGGGTATATCGGTCCTCAGTGAGAGAATGATTAATTCATTAAATAAACGTCAAGCCATGGGGAAATTAAAGTTCTACTACTTATAAGACGTTTTGGGAATAAAGTGTATAATGTATTTGTTATTAATTGCTAAATTAAATACTTATAAAGTCTACATGTCTGAAAACATTGCAAACTAATCAGCACTTTTTTGAAGTATGTGGTTTGACAAGTGCGGTGCGATCAGAGGTGTAGCCAGGATATTTTTATGGGTGGCCAGGTAATAACCAATGCACTCTGAGGGGTGGTCGAAAGTAGATAGGCACCAAAACTTTACGGTCAATCTACACTGTTCCAACAGGAACATTAACGAGTAAAACATCCATATTTTCTAAATAAAGACAAACTATGCTTTCCCACAGCCTTAGCTAAAAATTTGGCGAATATATGAAAAACACCCATGCTTTCTAGATAAAAGGTAGAGTGGATAAAACTCTTACAGGTTTGAGTTTGGGGCGAGCATCTTTTCCATTGTCATTACTTACCTACCTTTATCAATAATCATTCTGCATAAAATTGATATTAACAAGTACTAATATCTACATAAATTGATTATTTAATATATATTTTTTTGTTTATCTATGATTTCACTGAAGACTCCAATATGACTTGCAGAGACACATAATTTTCTCTTTACCCCATAAAACACAAAATCTATTTCTGCTTTAATTCTGTACTTATCTTTAATGTTACTATATTGATGTGCATAATTAACCACAATGTTTTTTTTGTCGCGTAATTGTTATTATATGAAAAATTTTAATGTTTTAAATATTCTACTTGAGAATATTGCTGTTGCCACCATCTGTATTAGAGGGAAATAAACTGGTGGGGGTAGCCATAGCGGTGGCCAATGATTGGCTAAAGGTGGCCATGGCCTCCCATTTAGCTACGCCCCTGGGTGCAATGGGATTATGTCGATGTGATGATGTTTTCTGTTAATAATAAAAAACAAAGTAAGATATTTTGGCATTTAGTTTTTTGCACAATCACAGCCTTCAATTGGGTATACAATATGTTGGCAGCTATGAATTAACTCTTTTGAAAGAACTTAACAAAAATAACATATATACTTTGGAATCAAATCAAACAGGGGTTACACTATTCCATAAAAAACCCCAGAAGAACTTGATCTTTCCAGTATGTCTTATTCAAATATTTTAATTGGATTTTGAATTTTCCATATAAAATAAAAACCAAACAACAGTCCCAGCATTAACACGGAATTGCAATAACATAGGGAAAATAGTGTAAAATGAAAAACAAAACAAAAAAACAAATCAAAAAGGATAACATATAAAAATTAGAAATTTGTGAGAAGAGAAAAATTCTAAAATAATAATCATAGAAATGTATACATAAATTAATATCGACATGTTGCAGTAGGGTTACATTACTCAATTATGTTCCAGTGTTTCCAGCAGGGAATTGTAATTGAAAATATTTTAGAAACGGCTGCCAGACCTTATAGAACCTCTGGGTTGATCCCTTGATCTCGTGCTTCATTTTCTTAAGTTTGAAATGTGCTATTACATCCTCAACCCAGCGCCTGTGTGTGGGGGGTCTTTCCAGTATTTCTGAGTGAAAAAATGGCCACCATGCAGGTAAAATGATGCAGTAGTCCCACATATTCAAGACATGCCTGTAATCTATGTAATGGGTTAGTTTAATCTGGATTTATAAACAGATATAGCTGAGTATCATCAGCATAACAATGGAAATAATCCTATGCTGTCTAATAATTTTACCAATTTGGGAGCATATATATAGTAAAGAGAATTGCCCCTAGCTTGTCCCTATGCTTCTCCACAGGTAGCGCTGGAGCATGAAGATTTATCATTAATATGAACAAACTGAAATCTGTCAGATGAATAAGATTTAAACCCACCTAGTGCTGTTCCCTTAATTGCTGCAAAATGTTTAAGACTTTCTAAAAGAATATTATGATCAACTGTATCAAATGCAGCACTAAAAGTCGTGAAATCTGGATCATGACCAAAAGAATGTGATCCTGGGTACAAGTGGCATAAATATGCTTTCTCTGTAGGATGGCAGGGCTATCCTGCAAATAGCCCTGCCATCACCAGAGATATGGTAAGGAGCTCGACCATCTTTTATTCATATTCTTAGAGTTCCTTTAGTCTCTAAAATGAAATGCAGGCTGTATCTCTTTGTTTTTTAAGTATAAAAGTATGAGTAGTACTGGCATACAGCCTTTACAGATAAAAATGCATTTGGAGAGTGATAACATCAGAATGTTGTCTTCATATTTAAGAGAATAAATTCACATTTTCATATAAAAAATGCACCTCAAAAAGAGCCAACAATCAAGTGTTACCCTCTTAAATTTAGGACTTTATGCTAAGCAATTTTCATTAAATAAAAATCAAGCATGGCCAATATGAAAGGGGCCCTAAAAACTCAAGTAACAAAAAAGAAGTTTAAATTTATTTGTATAGCACATTTTAATAAGAAGGCAATCCAAAGTGATTTACATCATAAAAAACGACAAAAAGTAAAGTAGAATAATTTATAAAATGAATCAAGTAAATAAAAAAATCCTTAAAACACGAGAATCATCACATAAACTCATCCACAAGATAATCATAGGAAGATTATAATGTTACACATGAGCTTTCTCAGTTGAACATCTCAGTATAAAGTAAGAGATAAACTAGGAGGAACTGTTATCAAAATAGCTCCTAAGGAATCACATATGTAGTTCAGTTATTTTCAGAGTGGCTTCACCACCTTGCAGAGCGTGTTTAAGTATGTTTTGCTCACAAAATCTGTTTTTAAATAGTTTAAATGTTCCTTGATAATAACTTATTAATAACATCCCTTTGTTGCATCTGTGTCATAAACATTGTTAGTAAAAATGCGTGATGCAGCACCTCAGGAAGAAGCCTTTCTAGGAAATCTTTGAGGAATCACATACATGTAAAATCAATACAAACCTATAAGAAAGCCAGAGAAATGAATGTTCTTGAATCGTTTAAGTGCCTCAGGTATTAATTCCTACACAATGTGAAACATGAGAATAATAGGTAGGTTCTGCTTGTTGGATATTTTTTAGGTTTATAGAATGAAAGGTAAAATTTAGGAGACCAGCAAAATCCAAATAATTTTTTTTTTTGTTATGGTTCTGGGTTGCTGAGTGTTCTAACTACAGCAGCTGCAGATCAACTAGTTAAATAACTGCATTTTAGGATGATTTTACAATGTTAAAAAAGAGGAAAATAATTAATTCAATTCAATTTATTTATATAGCACCAATTCACAACACATGTCATCTCAAGGCACTTTATTGTTTGCCAGAATATACAGTCAAATTAATTCAAAGTTTTCTATCTAAGGAAAACCAATTGATTGCATCGACTCATTGACTCGAAGGAAGGACTCCAAGGAAAACCAGCTGATTGCCATGACTCAGCAATCCCTCACACTAAGAATGATTGCAGCGACAGTGGAGAGGAAAAACTCCCTTTTAACAGGGAGAAACCTCCAGCAGAACCAGGCTCAGTGTGAGCGGCCATCTGCCGAGGCCGACTGGGGTTAGAGGAAAAAGAAGCAGAGATACAAAAAGCAACTGTAAAAGGCGTCCAGGAAACACACAGGCAGACGAGCTACAAGCCAACTCCCATGTCAGAAGATTACACTAACTTCTTATACTGATTAAACTTTTGGCACACAAAATTATATCCAATTTACAATTAAAAAATATAGCCTGTTCCAGTACATCCTATTCTATAAAATTAGTTTTTGTCAAGAGTTATGTTCCATTTTCCATAGTCACTGATATTGCTGATCGTACGTCTGTCTTGAGCTACGATTGATGGACCAGCAGCAAGCGGCACAGCAGGGGTGGCAGAGGTGGAGGATGAAGTGCTTTGCCTTTCTGCATAAACAACAAACATATTCAGCTTATTAGGAAACATACATGGAAGAGGATGAAGGTTCAATGTAAAGGGAATCAAAGAATCTCATCGCACCTGGCAGTTTTTTAGAAAGTTTCTCAACAAGATCTTTCCTGTATACCTTTTCCAGGATGGTTACCGTGGCCTTCAAAGCACCTTCTTCCATGT